AATTTCTACTTGACTGGGAATCAGTGCAATAAATATGTCAGAAGATTTCGAGCTGAAGAATTTAGGCCATACTGCCTGAATCTATCTGTGAAACATCCATTGCATGTGATGATCTGGGGCGGTATCGCTGCTTCTGGTATTGGTTGGATACAAATCGTGCAGAGAATCATGAATTCCAAGCAGTATGCTGAAGTCCTGGAAAAGACCATGCTTCCTTCAGCTCAGCAACTTGTAGGGAAGGACTTTTACTTCCAGGATGACAGCACTCCTTGTCATCGAGCCATGTCCATCCAGCAGTGGATGAAGAAGCATGGTCTTCGACCCCTGGATTGGCCAGCTCAGAGCCCAGATTTGAAACCAATTGAGAACTTGTGGGGCAAAATTGGTTACAAAATAAGCAAGAAGCATCCTGTCAACACCTCTTCATTAATTAATTAGGAAAGAAAGACCACAAGACTCCATGTGTGGAAATCAAGTGTACTTTTACTAATTAAGAATGATTAAAGGCATAGCAAAGCGAAGTCTGATTATTTAGGCGCGAAAGCAATTGATATATAGAATAGCCCATTCCCCACCCCTTGGCATCACAGTTCCAGTCCAATCATAATTCTTCCAAGTGTCAGGTGTGAGATAACTTCAAAAGGCATCACAAAGATGGAATGTCGGTGCCGTTAGTCCTGGCGGGAAACACCCACGCATGCGTAGTCCGATCAGCCGGTGAACTCCAGAACCTTCCTCCAGCACAATGAGTAACCCCTCCCAAATACCATGCTCCCCCTCCCCGTTTCATGGCAGCCGAAGCGATAGCAAAGCAGAGGCTGACACATCCAATGACCAAGCAGGAGCTGATTGAATCCATTATTGCAGCCTGGCACCACATTGTCACCAAAGATCACATGCAAAGGCTATGCCGAAGTGATACCACCTGGTGATAGGCAATAAGGGCTTGACACCTCTTTCCCCCCCAATAAATGCTTTCTGTTTTGCCTGAATTATTGGGTGATTGATTTATATTTTCAGGTAGGCAAAAAAGCCCTTTTGCAAAGATAAAAATGTCTCTCAGATTCAGGGATCAAGTTATCAGCTCCATATCAAATTCAGGATGCCCAAATTTGGAAGCAACAATAAATATCCATTTTGTATATCTTTAATGGGGCTCACAGAATAATAATAAAATAATACATCACTTTAAATACTTTATAAAAGACTATTCAAAATTGATTTTATTTTTATAAGGTAGGGGTGCAAGATATTTCTTTGAAGTTGCTTCTCATTTCTACCATCATATCAGCTCTGTTATGTGGGTTGATCAAAGAAATGGTGACTAGGAATTTTCCAAGACCTGAAACTCCTAGTCCCAGGTCAACATTTTAATCATCACACTCCATATATAACAGGATCTGTGGAAAGAAGTGAGTATGTTAAGAGTAAAAAATATTTAAGCTGGAATGTTCTTAGATTCTTCATTCAGTTAAAAAAAACCTGTAAACCTTTGTGTTTTCCTTCTGAGCCCAATCCACAATATTTTTTTAAAGGAGAAAGGAACACAAATTAGTACTGGGTATTATGGGAAGGAGGTCACTTGTAACTTGGAAAAATATAATTTGATCAGTTTTAGTTTAGTATGTTGTACAAACCAAGCAAATCATAGCTCTTTATACAGTAATGTATAGCCTAGCCATTGAGATTAAATTTGAATTTAAAATATAACAAAAAGTAATTCTATATTCTATTTTATACAGTAAAGCCAGACAGTATATTAAAGTTCAACCTAATCACCTTAGGCTCTGTGGAGATAGTTTTGCTGATACTCCGTATGGAAATAAGCAGTAAGCTAATTTATGAGAAAATTATAAGAATGAGCTCAGCTGTGTACGGAAGGCCTCTGCTTATTAAGAAAGATGAGAGCTCTTTTCATTTAGTTCATTGCTGGGCTGTTCTCAACACAGTAGCAGCTTGCGGCTTTGGTTGGAGTCTAATATAACACTGTAGAAGAGCTTCCATTCAAGGTTTGAGGGCTATTTGCAAGTAGAAATATCTAGTTTAAAAGGTGGGGGAGTGAGGTTTTAAAGCAGTATTTGATTACCTTTTGAGAATGTCTCCAAAAGATTCTCTGCTTTATTATTGTTCCTATATGGTGTGGAAAAGTTTTGATCCATTTTGAACAAGCATTTGTTGTTTTTTTCCTTTGCAATGCTTTTATAAATATTTTAATAGCATTGTGTATACAATACTAATTAAGAACTATAAATCCAGGATATTAATCTATATGATTTACTATGCTGGCTGCAACAAACATTCTACTACAGGAATTTCAAAGCAAAAAACTTAGTTAGCTGACCCACTCCCAACTCATTGAATTCTCTATGTGCTTGTTTTTAAAATCCTAATAATGGAAATGCTAGTTTACTCTGTTGGCCACAATATATATTGGGGGGGGTGGGTGGTTGACTTAAACTAATAGTAATATAAATCTTGTTTATTCTGTTCGTTGCAACTAAATTGGGATTGCTTGCTTTAAAATCCCAGTAACAAAAATGTTAGTCTATTCTGTTGGCTGAAATTAATTTGGGAGTATTTGTTTTGAAATTCCAGTATTAGAAATGATGGTTTATTCTGCTGGGTGCAACTAGACTGGAGTTTGTTGCTTTAAAACCCAGTAAAGAAATGTTCCTTCATTCCGCAGGTAGCCATTAAATTGGGGGTGCTTGCTTTAAAATCCCAGCAATGCATATCTTATTTTATTTTGTTGGCTATAAGTAAACAGGGTACTTGCTTTCAGATCCCGGTGTTAGACATGCTATTTTATTCTTTTGGCTGTAAGTAGTAAATTGGCATTTCTTGCTTTAAAAATCCCAGTAATAGAAATTTTGGTTGATTCTGTGGGCTTCCACAAAATTGGGGGATGCCTGCTTTAAAATCCCAGTAATAGAAATGCTTTGTTTTGTTCACTATAAATAAATGGTGGTTGTTGCTTTTAAATCCCAGTATAAAAAATCTTGCTTTATTCTGTTGAAGCAACTGAATGGAAAGTGCTTATTTCAAACTCCACTAATAGAAACATAGTTTTATTCTGTTGCTGCAACTAAATTGGACTTGTTTGAATTAAAATTCCATAGAAATGTTGCTTTTTTTGTTTGTTTATAAGTAAATTGTGGGTGCTTGCTTTAAAATCCCAGGAATAAAAATTCTAGTTTACTCTATTGATAGCAACTAAATCAGGGTTGGTTGCTTTAAAATTCCAGTAATAGAAATGTTGGTTTATTATGTTGGCTAAAATTAAATTGGAGTTCATTGCTTTAACACCCAGTAAAGAAATTTTCTTTCATTCTCTATGTAACCAATAAATTGGGGCTGCTTGCTTTAAAATCCCATATTAGTTATTTTATTCTGTTGCCTGCAACTAAATTGAGCTTTCCTTGTTTAAAATCCCAATAATAAAAATGTTTTATTTTGTTGCTTGCAACTAATTTGGAGGTGCTTGTTTTAAAATCTCAATATTAGAAATGTTGGTTTATTCCACTGCAACAGGGTGAATGCAGGGTACTTATTTAAAACTCAATTAATAGAAACATTGTTTTATTCTTTTGCTGCAACTAAATTGGGGTGCTTGCTTTAAAAATCCCAGTAATAGAAATTTTGGGTGATTCTATTTATTCTATTCTATTTATTAAATTTATAGGCCGCCCAATCCCGGGGGATTCTGTGGGCTGCCACAAAATTGGGGGTTGCTTGCTTTAAAACCCCAGTAATAGAAATGTTTTATTTTGTTCACTATAAAGCACACTCCATTCAGTTGCGTCAACAGAATAAAACAAGATTTCTTATACTGGAATTTAAAAACAACAATCACCGGTGGTTGTTGCTTCTAAATTCCAGTATAAGAAATCTTGATTTATTCTGTTGAAACAACTAAATGATGAGTGTTTTTTAAAAACTCCACTAATAGAAATATAGTTATATTCTGTTGCTGCAACTAAATTGGACTTGTTTGAATTAAAATTCCATAGAAATGTTGCTTTTTTTGTTTGTTTATAAGTAAATTGTGGGTGCTTGCTTTAAAATCCCAGGAATAAAAATTCTAGTTTACTCTATTGATAGCAACTAAATCAGGGTTGGTTGCTTTAAAATTCCAGTAATAGAAATGTTGGTTTATTATGTTGGCTAAAATTAAATTGGAGTTCATTGCTTTAACACCCAGTAAAGAAATTTTCTTTCATTCTCTATGTAACCAATAAATTGGGGCTGCTTGCTTTAAAATCCCATATTAGTTATTTTATTCTGTTGCCTGCAACTAAATTGAGCTTTCCTTGTTTAAAATCCCAATAATAAAAATGTTTTATTTTGTTGCTTGCAACTAATTTGGAGGTGCTTGTTTTAAAATCTCAATATTAGAAATGTTGGTTTATTCCACTGCAACAGGGTGAATGCAGGGTACTTATTTAAAACTCAATTAATAGAAACATTGTTTTATTCTTTTGCTGCAACTAAATTGGGGTGCTTGCTTTAAAAAATCACAGTAATAGACATTTTAGTTCATTCTGTTGAATGCCAAGAAATTGGTAATGCCTGTTTTAAAATGCCCCTAATAGAAATGTTGTTTTATTTTGTTGGATATAAGTAATGGGGCTGCTTGTTTTAAAATCCCAGTACCAGAAATTTTTGTTCATTCTGTGGACAGCTACTAAATTTGGGGTTCTTGCTTTAAAATGCCACTAATAAAAATCTTGTTTTATTCTATTGCAGCAACTCAGTTGAAGCTGCTTTCAAATCCCAGTAATAAAAATGTAGTTTTAATTTGTTGGCTATAAGTAAATATAGTGGGGCTTGCTTTAAAATACCAGTATTAGAAATGTTGGTTTATTCTGTGGGTTGCCATGAAATTGGAGATGCTTGCTTTAAAATGCCGCTAATAGAAATGTTTTATTCTGTTGAGACAGCTCAATTCGTGTGGTTATTTAAAACTCTATTTAAAGAAACATTGTTTCATTCTGTTTCCTCTATTACATTGTGTGTGTATGCTTGCTTTAAAATCCCAATATTAGAAATGTTGGTTCATTCTGTGCCCTGAAATTGGAGTTGCTTGCTTTAAAATGCCAGCATTAAAAATGTTGGTTTATTCTGTTGTAACAAGTAAATTGGTGGAGCTAATTTAAAATCCCAGGCTGCACAGCTTTGATAGGTAATATGGCGACAATCACTTAGTAATGCGGTTTGTTTGATTTTGCAGAATCCTGATGGAGCAAGAGTCACCTAATATTTGGGCTACATAACTATATAGCTCATTACTTCATTACCTCACAACTACTTATGGAATTTTCCCTTGCAAACACACAAATCTTAGGGTTTCTTTAAACATTCCAAGTTGTTCATATTCTTCAAATGTTAGAGGCAGATGATACATGAACATTTTTGGACAAGGATCCGTTGATAGAGCAGCCTCTAGCAAATTCCTACTAACAAAAAGGAAGAATTGTGTGCAGTTATGATACGTTTTAATTTAAATTTAATTTTTTATCAGGATATCATCAGTGTCCTTATTCTTTGATAAGTTTTCAATTGTCTAGCATTTATGCCTTTTAAATTTTATATCTCTCGCTATTTATTTCAAGCTTAGAAAATGAATGCTCCTCCAGCCCCAGAAAGCAGACCTTATTCCACAAACCCAAGGCCTTTTTTTTATGCTCGGCCTACAGCACATCAGCCATTTCCTAATCCTTGGCTTGTTGGACCTATGTATAATCCCTATGGCATGCCTGCATCCGGTAAGAGAATCTACACAGTACAATGTTCTGATACACAATGATAAACTTGTGAAAAATAGGAGGGGTTGTTTGTCAACTCTGAACAGGAAACAAAAAAAGTGAGAAATTTACTAGAAAAATATGTCAATGTTGTTTTCTCCATTTGGTCAAACGAAGAGCTGCAGTTGAACTGCTAATTTTTTAATATCTCTGTTAGAGTTTCATCTACTGTTCTGGACCTTGACAATAGTGCTCTTAACTTATTAGGGTCTGACCAAACAAAAAAGAAAGTTCTAAAACAACATAGGAAACTGCCTAGGGTGGGAGGGGCATAGCAAATCTCAAAGATATGGTTGAAGGAAATATCCAGATCCAGTTCCAAGCCCACAAAAAGACATTGGAGATAAAATGGAGACTGGAGGCTGATTGGAAAGAAAGGTCCCTTTATTGATAAAGCAGAACCACGAACTACATGTGATTCTGGGCAACTGACAAAATGGAGTTTGTAGTGGGTGGGTTTTTGTACTTTCTGGATTCCTTTGGGGTCATGTAGGGGTCATAACTGGCTCTATAGGCAAAAGAGGAAATGCAAATCCTAGGTGTTTGAGCTAATTTTGTAAACCTTTTATTTGTTGTTTATCTGAGTTTGTCTTGGCCCACTTCTGAATGGATTACCAAATCTGCATTTCTAAAAGCTTGGCCTCCTGAGTTTCTGCTTGGGGCAGGAAGACTGAGGCTGGTTTCTGCCACCCTTAAGATTTTTTTCCCATTTCTTTAGGGGAATATTCTAACCCCCCTTTATATATTTCCCAAAATAGTTCATTCTTCTAGGAGTTGTGGTGGTGTCATTTCCCACAATATAAAGGCTAATGAGGCAGAAATGACACTAGCAAATAGGTTTTTTAAAACCTATTTTCTGTAATACTAGCAAAATACAGTATGTGTATGGAACCATTAATACTAAGAATAGAATCATAATTCTAATGTTTTGTGGCACACTTTACAGTGTACTATAAAGTAATACTCTTAACTAGTTATCAATACCTTAATAGGTTCTGCATAGTTTCCTTCATTGTAACTCTGCTTAACAGCTGTATGATACCTTAATTTTCAGTGATGAAACTTTCAGAGCATATAGCAAAAAATAGAAAATATCTCACTTTCATAACCTCTGCTTGCTCACTCCTAGGGCAAATGAATGATTTTATTTAGCATAATTAACTTAAATACAGTTTATTTCAACTGAATTTAATTAGCTTGCAATCTTCAATTTGTTTAGCTATAAATGATTTCATTGACAACAATGAGGTCTGTTTCTAAATAAATGTGACTAGACTCTACTTGTTACTGCAATTAGAGATTAATATAAAAAGTGTCTCTTTCAAGTCAAACACAGCTTCTAGCAGCTTCATAGATATGCCCCTATTGTTGTTTTGGCTCAATTTGCTTTTTTAACCTTCCTAGTATAACTTATAGCTTATTTTCATACAAATACTAGACAGATCTATACTAGCTCTGTTTTTCAAGAGCTATCAAGCACAACAAATATAATTATTAGCAAAAGTATTGTCAACCTTTGTCTTCTGCTTACTCATTTCCCAAATTATACAAAATTGTTGACTTCCTTTACTTGTAAATTATATATTTTTTCCAGTAATAGTTCTAGAGCTGTACAGAAATTTTGCATGTACTACATGTTTTTACTTCTCACTGTCTTACTGAGCTAGATATAACTGAAACTGTGGGATCCTCTGTGTTCTCTGAACTTGATTGTTTTCTTGCAGAGATTTCAATACCCAACTAGGGAATATCAGTGCCAAAAGAGGGTTGGGTTTACTCTATATACAAGTGATTTGCCCTGTTCATGTTGGTGGGAATGTTCTTGGTAGTTCCTTGATTAGGTTGTTTACTGTTAGCTCAAACACTTAGCATTGATGATGTGCATTAGTTGGATAATGAAATGCCTTGAAAAAAATAAGTTTGGAGAGCACCAAGGGCATTGCAATCCTGGTCTACAAATATTCTTTCTATTGGTGTAACTGTAATCTTAGACAAAAAAGGGGGAAATGAGGCATTTCCAAAGGCACATAGCTATTAATTAGTTCAATAAACAAGGAGCTTAGAAACGTTGATTTATTCTGTTGCAGCAACCAAATTGAAGGTACTTGATTAAAACTCCAGTAATAGAAATATTGTTTTATTCTGTTGCAGCAACTTTTCAGGATACTTAGGAAGATATAGAACAGTCTGTTGAACACCACAGATACATATATTTTGAGGGGCTTTATTAAATTTTTTGGATTAGCTTAATTGCATGTTTAGCCTTGTTAAAGATCTAAAATTCCAAGCCAATGATATAACTATATTTCGATTTTGTTCTAAGGTTTAAGAAGTGGCAATCCATATTTCCAATGTTACTCAGTTCCTTCCCATGAATATCCTGGATATTTAGTTCCACAGCCTCCTATGCATATGAGAATTAGACGACCTTATTTTGGTGGTCCTCCATCATCACCCATGGTGTATCAAGTCCCACGGTTCAGGCATGGTTTTCCCATGATGTATCAACCACAAAACCCAGTGAAACGAACAGAAAACAAAGAAACTCAAACTGATTTTGGAGAATCTGAAAGTGGAGCAAAAACACCTGTGAAACAAGATATAGGAACAAAAGGCTATGATGTTGGAAATACTGAAAATACTGCTTATATTGCATCTGATACTCCTAAAGAAACTGAAAGTTTTTTGGGAAAAACAGATAAAACAACATCTTCTGCTATGTCAGATAGAGAACTTGCCAAGAACTCTTCAGGTCTTGTACCATTTCGAAGTCTTCCCCCGGCAGGCTATGCCATTGAGAAAGAGGAAGTTAGAATACAATATGCAAATGATGGTGCTCCTGCTATTCAGCTCTGGAAGTCTTTTAAAGAAACAATCCCTCTCTATGAGATGGCACAAAAACAAGCCCCAAAGAATATCGTGCAAAGAGATATACTTGCTTGTAGCTCCTGTGAAGGAGTTGCATATGAGCCTCATGAAGAAGGAGAATTGCCTCCATGTATTCCATTTTCAGAGGAGCAAAAAGTTCCTGAGGGCATGCAGAAGAAACAGCCTCTATGTAAAGAAAATCCAGATTCAGAAAAACAAATAGTTATAAACTACAGAGCAATAGGTCCAATGGATGAAGCTGGAACAGTGCAACTGGCTGAACCAAGTGGGCTTGACCACTCAGGGATAAGGCAAGATGTACTGATGGCCAAAATACCACCTGGCTTTAAAAAATCAAGTGGTTCAAAAGCTCCACAAGAAGTTTCAAATCATATTCGACAACGAAAATTATTTCCTTCTGATATGGAGATGACAAATGATGCATATTTGCCTCAGAAGCTGAGTGAATGTAATGACATGAACAATGAAAACTGGAATACTTCTGAAAAAATCCAATGGTGTGATGACTCTGAAAAATATCTTCCTTCTGAGAGCTGGTTGGCTTGTGTGGATAACATGGATCCAAACTATAACTATGAAAAATATCTTTTCCGAAGAAAGCGTCCAAATTTGCTTAGTATTACCTCTGATGATATGTCTTCTATTGAAGAAGGTGCCTCAACTGAGAATTCTTCAGTTTCTATCATAGTTCCAGACCATTTGCTTCCAAAGGGTTTATGTACCTTCAAGAAAAATCGTGATGGCTTGGGAATAGGCCAAATAAGAAGTGGAGGCACCCTCAATGAAGATGAGGAAGTGATGGGGATTGAACAGGCCACTAGTGAGCATAGTCAGAATCTCAAGATCAATTCAAGAGTCAAGGTTAAAGAGATTCCTAGCCAAATCAAAAAGATGAGCATTCTTCCAAGATGTTCCAAAGACAAGCATCTCTACTGTCTCCAAAAGATAACAAGTTCATCTCCATCAGATGCTGATGATTCTGAAGAATATTGGGTGATGGAACCAGAGGAATATGAAGAGCAAGAAACTGATGAGGAATACTTTGTTGAGGAAGATATGCCATATGAAATCCTGAATCCAGACAAAAGTGGATTGGGCCAACAGACTGCACAGAAAGTATTTTGGAGAATCCCTAAAAATGCAGTGCCACCACATGTAATTAACTGGCCTGTGCAAGAAAAAATGTCTGGGTTACCTACTAAACTTCAGAAAGAGCAAAATGAAGATCTCTGTGATGACTATAATATCTGCTTCATGAGACCTACAGTCCAACAGCTAGAATTACTTGAACACAGAAAAAATCCACAGAAATGCTCAGGTAAATAGAAAACTAAAACAGATATCAATCATTTTGCAAGGCTTCATTTTCTCATTTATAAGTGTTTATAAGTCAAGAAGGAGGGAGAAGAAGATAGATAAATTTGGGGATTTTCAAGCTTTTTTAAAAAATAAACTGTATATCAAGAATTTTATACAAAGCTACTTGAATGCCTATCTCTCTGAAATGTTGCAGTTTTTTGTTTTTTGTTTTTAGTCATTTTATTGACATTTATAGGCCGCCCTTTTCCCTAAGGGGACTCAGGGCGGCTTACATTTCATAGGAGGGGAGTGTAAGACAGGACACAAAAGAAATGTGAATAAAGGAAAATAACCAATAAAAACATAACATTCATTCGACATTCGGGCGGGGCGAGATTAGGATCTTATCCCCAGGCCTGATGGGATAGCCAGATCTTGAGGGCTGTGCAGAAGGTCTGGACGGTGGTGAGGGTGCGAATCTCCACGGGGAGATCGTTCCAAAGCGTCGGAGCTGCAACCGAGAAGGCTCTCCTCCGCGTAGTCGCCAGTCGGCACTGACTGGCGGATGGAATTCGAAGGAGGCCTACTCTATGCGATCTGATGGGACGAAGGGAGGTAATTGGCAGAAGGCGGTCTCTCAAATAGTCAGATCCACTACCATGAAGGGCTTTATGAATGGTGAGTAGCACCTTGAAGCGCACCTGGAGTTTAGAATGTATTTCAAATTTTATTTTTCTCCTCTTATATACCTCTTACTTGAACATTTTTGTACACAGTTAACAAACATGCTTTTTAAAAAATGATAGAATATTGATTGACTTCAGTCTAAATGTTTCTTGATGAAGACTTGAAAGTAGCATAGTTGATTTATGCATACATCTAAAGATATTCATAATCTACAGTCAATGGACATATTGGAATGGAATCAATTCTGTTAGGATTGTTGAGCCAATTTGCTTTACCAAATACTTAACCAAATATGTAGCAAAGAACTGAACTGTTTTATATATGTTGATCAGGATGGTTACAAGAGGAAAATAGAAGGACTGGACCTGATGAATACTGGATAAAAAGTGGTGCTAGACCCAGATCTGCTAGCTTAAAACCTGGTGATCTCTCACCTACTGCTACAAAAGAGAAAGGTATGATCTTTATTGTTTAAATTAAAAATGTACCACATTCCTCTATAAACATGACTTCAACTGGCAATTGATTCCATATTTTGAAGCGAAGTGGCAACTTGTACAAGCAAAAAAAAATCAAGTTAAAATGAATGCTGAAATATTATACATAAAAGCAATTCCAATGCCACTCAGAACAAACATGGATTTTGGATAACATATACAACTCAATTGGGAGCCTCACTCTCAATTCTCTAGCTGCTGGTGCATATGAAGCACATATTCTGCTCATACTTTATTCTGAGAAAATATCTATTATCTTGTATAGTGAATTTGAAAAAAAAACATTCTTAAAGAATGAGATGTAGTACAGGTGTCTTTGCAAGTAAAGTAATTTAAAAGTGGGAAACTGTAGAAGAAAATAAACTTTAGGCACAGAATGAATAAAATTATTGCATTTATAATAGATATCCTGGAAGTATTCCCTTTTGCATCTGATGATATATATATGGAATGTCCAAAGAACAAAGGAGTGCATAAACCTCCTCATAAACGCAGAGACACAAGATGTGAAACAGCTGAAGTACGGGAGAAACCTAAAATTACATATCATAAGGGTAAGTGCAAAATGTTATCTAGTAATAAAGAGAGTAACTCTTTTAAATTCACCTTTCAAATCATTTCTATAAGAAGGCTCTGAGTAATATATGGAAGTCCAATAATATTCAGCACATAGGCTTCTTAGAACCAGTCTACAAATGAAAACTAAGTTCACAGAACTGAAAAACCATGGTGGAATCTTCTTTGGCTTAGGATCCTGTTCATCTTTGAAAGATATATGTAATAAATACATAGATCATAACCAGTAAAATACCAAATACTTAATTGTATTGACTATATAGTCAGTGGAACACATATGTATACAATACATACCTGGAATGACTAGCTCAGTCTTGACAAGGAAATGTGAGTCGTATAAAAGATGCAAGAAACCTGTTACGTCTAGCTGAAGTGCTGTGGGAGATTCCTGTTTGTACTAAACTGTTTATCTTTAGACTAATTTCTTGAAAACTCTAGCACTTATATATTACTAAGCATTATGCCTGCTTACTTCCACTACCATGGATTGTTATACAGCAACAAGTATTAACAACAGTTGAGATTGAATGCCTAAGTGGGCTTTTCCTAAGGTACAGTCAGGATGTTCGTATCTTTGCCACACATCTTACTGGATAGTTATGCTAACTGCTTTGTTGCTTTGTACTGCCCAGTATCTATAATTAGTGCATGTTCAGCTGTAATACAGAGAGATGTGTAAACAGACCTCTCAGACAAATTGCACTGGGATACAGATTGTAGGTCTGATTTCCCACACTAAAAAGAAAAATATTTTTAAAAATATTAGGTTGGATCCCAACCTTTTCACTCCATCCACCTAACTTATGTATGTCCCATGATGTCCTAATTTTTAGCAGCTGGATAGTGTTTGAATACTGCTCATATATGGCTTTTTCTTATATCGATTGTTCGTAAGTAATATAACCTTATTCTAATAGGCCTATGCCATGTACATATTTTGAATATTGGAAATGTTTTATCATCCTTCATAATGGATATACTGAATGGTTTGTAAAAGATTTAAATTTTGACAGACAAGTTTGCATATGGTTATTTTTAACAGCTCTGAATATCGTCCATTTGCAAATTATTTCTTATCTGACTTATAGGTAAAAACATGTTGTATATGTTAATGGATGCCAGATGGTTAAAATCTAATGGTTTCAGGTTGGACTACTTTTAAAAACTATGGTGCCTAATACGTTTTCCTTTTGTGCAGGATGTGAAGCAAAGAAACCACCCTATAAAAGATAAAAGAAGACAATGATAATCAGAAGTGCAAATATTTGCTTGTATTGATTAAAGGAATCGTAATTTTTTTTGAAGCAAATCAGTTTAAGTTGCATTGTAAAGGATTCCTGAGTTCATACTGTAAAATGTCCAAAAAAATGAATTTGGACACACAAATTTCACACAATGTTGAGTAACACAGTGTTTAAATAAAGTTGAAATTGCACTAATAGGATGTGTGAATAATTTCTAATGTAAAACTTATTTTCAAAGAATGGATAAAGCATCAGCTGAGAAATAAGAAATAAAGGTGTATGGGAATCACAATTTAGTTTCAAAAGCATTAGCTTTAAGCAGTATCAAGTTTTGGCAAACAGTGCTCCCAACTTCCTTCTGCGGTGATACCTGAAGGGAAACCAAGATAATTTGTTGTAAATAATAGAAACTATAGACTCTAATAAAGCTCACATCATGGTTTCATAAACCAAGGCTTTAAAGAAATATGCAGACTCTATAGATTTTGAATGTAATCTCAGAATTTAAGTTGCCTTTCATTTGTAATTTTTAACATGGTAGCATGTAAAATTAATTTCATAGGAGGAAATCTCATAAAATATATTTAATTTTACTTGAATGCAGTTTAGTATTTGGTCAGAGTACATGCTTCTAGAATTCTAGTTCCTATACTAAAACATTATGGTACAATATCTTAGCATAATTAAGACTATACTATGGATGAACACATCAATATATTTTCTTAAATGGAACTGAAGGTTTTTCATGCTTAAAAGGCCAGAACCTTCATTATTCTGGGTCAGCAACAGACAATAGAATAAGAAGCCTTGAATCAGATTCATTGTTTCTACATCTTCACTCTAAAGAGTGATTCTAGCCAGCTCTACTTATAGAACATGCTGCAGAATAAACAGATAAAATGGTGATGTTGAGTTAATATGCTTGATAAGGATTCAAGTTATCCAGCTAATCCCTGCTAATACAAACTATGGAAATAATGGCTCAAATTGTTTTTAATTTCCTAGCAATACTTTGCTGTAAAAGATAATTATGCTTTCAATCTTGATAAATGGGAAGAGATGAAGGCATGAACAGGTGTAGATGAAGCCAGCTATTTTGCATCCAGTCATGTAAAGCAGGGCTGTCAAACTCGCCCACGGGCCAGATATGTCACAAGCTGGCCACGCCCACACCTGGCTTAGTGAAGGGAAAAAATTGTGATACATCATGTGATGACGCCGTGACACTTGAGACAATGTGAGTTTGACACCCGATCGAAAGGAACCAGCATGCTACAGTTTTGTTGACAAAGTGCTGATGCAATAAAAACATTTTTATTTGCTCTATGTCACAGCTGCTTAGGATGTTGATCCAAAACTTTAGTTCTTTTGTTGCTTTTCAATTAAATAAAAATACAGATGAAAAAAAAGCAGTTTCTTTATTGGGCAGAACAAATATGCCACAATACATCTATCCTTCCAATATTGTTTTTCTATCTAAAAAATATCAAACTTAGAGGGCCAAAATAAAAATAAGGTATATTTAAGTGTTCTTCTATAGATTGTTTTACAATTCCCCAGAGTCTATTTCTAATCTTATAGAAGTCTGTGGAGCCTTCCTTTATGTCAGATGCAGCTGGAAGATGGGTGATAAATTATGCAGCTTTACAATAAAATACATCTGAAAATGTTATATTTTTATATTATGGTAGATGATGGTAGTTGTGCTTCATCCCTTTGTAGAAAGCCACTTTTTAGAATAAAGTTCAGTTGGAGGCAGTTAAGGGTGAAGCCTGTACTATGCCCCTTTATAATTTATTTTCCTCTGCATATTATCCATTAAGCTTCTTTCAGTAAAGGCTGAGACTTCTGTCATATTGCTAACACTCTGGCGACATGCTACTAAAGGAATTCTTTTGGCTAAATGTTACTTCAATCAACCCTGTCTTAAGACAGTTCTCCCTAAATTTGTGCAGTATGTGCAGTTCTCCACCAGAGGGAAGAACACTTTAGACTATGTGTACTCTAACCTAAAACAGGCATACAAAGCAATCCCCCTTTCCCACCTGGGTACATCGGACCATCTTTCACTGCTGTTATGCCCAAAGTATGACCCTCTCAGGAAAAGAACTCAGTCAGTCATGAGAATGGTTAAAATCTGCCCAAAGGGTCAGTTAGCTGCAGGACTATTTTGAAACCACTGAGTGGAGTGTATTTGAACATCAAGATCTGTATGAATACACTGATGCCGTACTCTCTTACATCAAACTGAAAGCGTAACAGCAGACAGGCGCATCAGAGTCTACGGGAATTATAAACCCTGGATGACTGCTGAAGCACAGATGCTTCTGAGGCTCTGGGATTCAGCCTTTAAGGCAGGGGACAATGATAGATATAGAGAGGCCAGGGCAAACCTGAGAAGAGGCATTAAGATGGCAAAACAACAATACAAACATAAGGTGGAGAACCATCCAGCAGACAACAACCTGAAGCAACTGTGGCAGGGAGTGCAGCATCTGGGAACACAAGGAACACGGCCAACGCTGATGCCTCGTTGGTAGAGGAGCTGAACACTTTTGCCCACTACGAGGTGAAAAGACCGCGTAGCCTCTGCCCGCTGGCCTTCTGATTCTCAGCCACTCACCCTATAGAAACACCGTGAGAGTTTCTATTGAAGGCCGTGAATCCCAGAAAAGCTGCAGGTCCAGATGGGATACTAGGGATAGTGGTAAAGAATTGTGCCGACGAGTTAGCAGGGATTCTGACAAGGATCTTTAATATCTCCCTGCAATCAGCCAATGTTCCATCTTGCTTGTAAGCAGTCACTATTGTTCCAGTCCCAAAGAAAACAGCAATTAACTGCCGAAATGACTACAGATCTATTGGACCAACATCTGTAATGTTGAAATGCTTTGAGAGATTGGTTCTCCAACATCTTAGGACTCCCATCAGACTTTGACAAATATCAGTTTGCCTACAGAGGGAATAGATTGACAGACGACGCCATGGCTATTTCTTTACATTCTGTAGTGAGCCATCCAGAGAAACCCAGAAACTACGCTTTTCAGGATGCTTTTCATAAATTACCATTTTCTGAAGCATCCTTATTGAAAAGCTGACTGACTTGGATTTTCCCTCTTCCATCAAAGACTTTCTGAGGGACCGGCAAAAAACAGTGAGTCATATCTGTCATATCCACCTCCCTGAAGCTTAGCACTGGCTCTCCACGGGAGGGTGTGACTGTGTGCTCAGTCCCTACCTGTATTCATTGTACACACGATTGTGTACGGTCTGACCCATCCACTGTGATCATTAAGTTCGCAGATGATACCACTTTATTGGGTCTAGTTACAGACACCATTTCCTTAGGGTCTTGTGAAAAAATAAAGTGGAACAACAACGGATGACCTTCTTTTACTGAGCCACAATAGAAAGCGTCCTCACTCATTGCATTATGGTATGGTATCAGGGCCGGATTTTCCTATAGGCTAACTAGGCTTCAGCCTAGGGCCTCAAGATCAAGAGGGGCCTACATTCAAATTGTTAGCAAAATTAAAATTACACTATTCTAAAAACAGTAAACACTAAAACACTGAACCGAAAATAAGGAGAAATTCTACGCATATGACTAATAAACAAACATAAAAATGTATTGGTTAAGATTGTTCCAGCGCCGTGGCAGTTGGGGAGCTCGCCCACGCACCGGTGGTCGGGCGAGAGGTGCGGCCACTCTCAGTAGCCGCCCCGTCGATGCGGAGCCCACTAGTGGCCAGGCAGGTGAGGGCGTGGGGGCCGAGCCAGGCAGCTGAGCGCAGCAGGGGAGGCGGCTGGCTTCACTGCCTTTGCCGCAGAGCAGAGCCGCCCTCCGTCGGGAGGCCAGCTATATATATTGATATATATTGATATATATCACGGTAATGATGTATTTTATTGTCTCTCATGTAATTTACAAGCTTAAAAATGGGAGGTGAAAGGGCCTCATAAGTGGAATAGCCTAGGGCCTCTTTTCATCTAAATCCGGCCCTGTGTGGATGCTGGCTTGACAGCCACGGATAGAAAGACATTACAGAGGGTGGTGAGCACAGCACAAAACACCAGACAACATCACTAGGACTCTCTGCCTTAAAAGAGTGAGGAAAATCCTCAGGGATGACTCACACCCTGGTCAGCCCTTCTTTATTCTCTTACCATCTGGAAGGAGATGAAGAACAGTTTTTATCTGTGGGCTGTCAGACTCCTGAATGAAAAATAGCTCTACAACAACATAGTCTGATTGATTTGCGGGGCTGGCACAATGTGTAATAAGTTCACATGGTGCAATAGGTTTTTGTTAGTAGGATTCACTGGGCTAGGGATTTTTTTGTCTTTCACTGTGAGTTGTATTGTGGTGGTGGGATTGCATGAAGGGAGGTTCAGCCAATCTCATTGTATATATGTTGTACTCTGACAATAAAGGTTTGAAATCATACAAAACTTTGATGAAAAGATATTTGTGTAAATCTTGAGAGTTATTTTTGGAACTTTCCTATTGGTAGTTTGGAACTTCTTATTGGTTGTTTCCCCTTTCCTACATTGATTGATTATTAAAGTTAAGGGTGGAGGACCTTTTACAAAAATAGCTAAAAAGAGTCTGCAGGATTCAAGTCAGAGTATAAATTAAGCAGTTTTCTTTAGCAGCATCTCATACAGATACAAAATAAACTTTCTTGTTTTGTTGTTGTTGTGGTTTTCCAACGCAAGAAAGGAAGAGGATGCAGGTAAAACAGAAATGAAGGAATGTTCTTTGGATCTTTTATAACTTATTGACATAAAGGCAACTATCTCCTCAATCTGATTCAGACTTTTTGCTTGATTTAGAGGATCGGCGTTTTCTCTTTTTCTTTTTCTTCTTCTTTTCCTTTTTCTTTTTCTTCTTCTTGTGCTTCACCTGACTCTCTGAAGAACTGGAATTTTCACTGCTGCTGTCTTCATCTGATGTGGAGTCTTCCAGCAACCGTTTTAACTGTTCTATCCTAAGCGCATAAACAGACAATGTCAAATGATATTTGCTTGGGCAGGTTTCATTTCACTTGGATAGCACTTTAAAACAAAACTTTGAAACTATTACCTTAGAAATAAAAGGGGTTCTTTACAATTAAGAAGTCACTGTTTTTTTCTTTGCAAAAAAATATAAAATGAAGTAGTTGTCATAACAGATTGTTGGTAATTTCTTGATTCACATCTCACAGGCATTCTTACTCTGGCAAGTCACTATCGCTCAACTACAAACTTGGGGACTATATTACTGAACTTTCTTATAATGGTCATAAAATATTTGGAAATTTATGAAGTATTGCTATCATCACTTTTATCATAATTGTTTAAAAGAGTTCCAAGCTTACCTCATATCTTTTTCATAGCGTTTATTTTCTCTTATTATATCATACATGGGGTCTTCATGTGCCTTAGAGAGGAAAGAAAGCTTCATATCCAAACAAATAATTTCTTACTTTTTACATTCTTAATGTGATGCCCTCCAGATAGAGTTGGATTGAAATTCGCTTGAGAATCCTGGAATTTATAATCCAAATGTATCTGAAAGGCTTAGAAGGTTGTTCTAAACAATTTTTGTACAAAAAACCCCAAAACCAATGGCATTTTCTACATAGGAGTGGCAACCTTTTTCCTAACCAAGCGTCACTTGAAATCCCATGTAGAGTACTGTGTAGGACACTGTGGGTGGGATACAAACAACATGCGTTAACAAAGATGAGGAAACATTAAAACTTCTAACCCTACTGACCCAAATTGTGATGGCAAACCACATTACCAAATGTTGTTGGAAAGAGTCACTGGCAACTTTTGCAGAAGCTGTGGAGTTCTCAAAATAGCATGGTATAGATTGCTAGTCAAGGCTGCCTATCACGTCCTCCCATCAGTCTATGGACACAAGCAAAACAATTTTGTCAGCCTATTCTGGAGAGTTGTCCCATGCATTAATTGTTTTATATCTACACTCTTGGTTCATGCAGGTTGCTAGGGACAGATTATATTGATATCTTATTTTTAAAATATAACTTATGGATCAGTTTAATTTCTCCCAATCAAAGGATTTAGATAAAAAAATTCAGTATAATAAAATTCAAACCCTGCCTCTTTTATATGCATTAACAATTTGTTAAATCCATTTTCTGTTATACAATTGCACCTATCCTCCTTTGGACTTCTGTTTTGGAGTCATAACTTAAACTGCTATGTCCTATAGATAATAAACTGGACAAACAAAAGAAAACCAAATGTGTCATTTTCAGTATTATTCCTAATTTTTTAAACTACAAATACCAAAACTGAAATATAAGAATGTAAAAGAGTGAAATTCAAAGCAGCTAACAGTTGCAATATTTTTATATGATTAATTTTCAAATGTTTACTTTCATTTTCTAGCTTGCAGTTCAAAATGACTGGATACAGAATTTATATCTCTAATGTATACATCAATTCTAAATGCATAAATAGCCAAACACTTTATCAATACATGCTTATCTAATCATTTATGTTTAATACAATTTGCCCTCTCGGCTTTTGGTACAGAATCTATATAAAACCCGGTGGGCTTTATTTGCATAGGCTAATTTGAGGATAAATATTGAAATGAATAGTGCAAAAGTAAAAGGACCATGTTTGCTTTGAAACCAATTTGAAGTATTTCAGGACTTATAAAAGCACTACACTTCTCTGAAATTCAATTAATCAGTCCAACAAGATTTTGGAAATGTGCTGCTCTATTCTGAGGCTTGAAGCCCTTCTGAATTTGTTTCAAAGCATAGGTAAAGGTAAAGGTTTCCATCGCACATATGTGCTAGTCGTTCCCAATTCTAGGGGGCGGGGCTCATCTCTGTTTCAAAACCGAAGAGCCAGCGGTATCTGAAAATGTCTCCATGGTCATGTGGCTGGCATGACTAAATGCTGTTACCTTCCCATCAAAGGTGGTTCCTATTTTTCTACTTGCATTTTTACATGCTTTCGAACTGCTAGGTTGGCAGAAGCTTGGACAAGTAATGGGAGCTCACTCCATTATGCAGCACTAGGGATTTGAACCACCGAACTGCCAACCTTTCTGATTGACAAGCTTCGTGTCTTAACCACTGAGCCACCACATCCCTGCTTTATTCTGAGGCTTGAAGCCCTTCTTCTAAATTTGTTTCAAAGCATATCCAGCCCTAATAAAATACTTTCATTCTCCTTTTATGAATTTTGATGCAAGGTTTTGCATCTTGGGGCGGAGAGAAGGACGCGGCAAGATAGGTAGCAAAACAGTAATCTTTATTCAGCTCAAGTA